GAAAGGGGAATATTTAACATGGTGTCCTCCGCGATTCCGCCTGAACCAATATTAAATTATGAGATAATCGGAATTTCGATTTATCAAGACTTGACTAAACGAATTTACACTGTACAGGTGTCGAAAAATGCGTCAGGATCAAGTGTCGACATTCACCTAATACTATAGGTCGTCCTTAGTTGATCCAGATAAAACACACTAAGAGGACGCAATTATGAGGATAGTTCCAATGAAACCCGCCCGAAGGCCATCGTGTAGACGACAAACAGCAGCGTTGCGGCGGATAAGGTGATGGCAATGCCACCTGGCGGCCATTATGTGGGTGTAGTCTCCGAACTGCGCTCTCAGTTCTTTGTGTGTATTGAACACGTGAAGATGATGCTTATGAAGAACAACGTTGTACGGTTCCTGTGTGCAGAAGGGATGACAACTTGCTGACATGGAACAAGAGTGTCCCAAACAGCTGTCAAAAAGAGGTATAAACGCTACTGAGAGGGGGGTGTATCCGTTGAGGATGACTCGCGTCAGGAAGAAGCTCATCGTGCACCGTATGAGTCACTGATGAGCGAGGATTGATGCTGATGTTCGTGTTAACCGCCGGGTAATAGCTGTATTTCCTCTGCCAGATGCTGCACTGAGTGCTGATGGCGTGTTCAACATCCTGCACGAGCGGCTAGGATACATGGAACCATCAAATAATTCTCTAACAGAGAGAGAGAGTGAGCGGCGTGGTCGGCCTGGTGTGGGTGGGGCGATATAGCAGGAGAGGTTTGGCGTGGATGTTGGTGGTGGCGGGGAGGACGTGGCCGGGAAGGCTTGCCCAGGAGGTCGATGATGGCGGACGCAGGAGGTTCTAATCGTCGTCCGTCCCGGAGCTGCGGCGTCGATGGTACTTTTCGCCTGCTACCGCGGGGGGGAGGGGTTCAAACTAAATCAGGATCCTGCGGAGAATGGTGATGGGACACGGGGATACATCCGGCCACACGGTGGCGCGGGTCGATCAGGAGGGCTGGGTAAAGCTCAGGAATGGACCGTTGAGTTCAAGAATGCACTAAGTTCAGGCATGGAGTTCAGGATGGTCGGATTACGCAGGTCACGCAAGATGTTCGAGATGATCTTGGGTTCCTTTTCCTCCCAGTGCTATATTGGGCTTGGACCCTAGGTCCATGCCTTGAGGCCGGACCCCATGTAAAGTCCAGTATTTTCAGGACCTTGTTGTCTTAATGACACATTTCAGGTACCGGGTTAATGTTCATTCTAGTGCCCAGGTGCCAGACGTATGGGCACTAAGTCTTATCTTAATTATAATTTATTGGCTAATGGGGTGGTCAACTTGACCCGGGTCTGGGTCAAGCGACCCTAACGCCACCTCTAGGCCATTCCGCGTCCGACTCACTTTTGTGTCCGCGATAATATGAAGAACTTGCAGTCGATCATTGAAAACGTGACACGCATTCAGTTATGACCACTCCTCGATTGATACAGTTAAGTATGAAGCCTATGACTCAGACTGATATAGCTCGATAGAACTGGCGCTAAAACTGTTGGATGGCCAAGCCAATGGCCTATAATAGCATAGCCTCAAGGACCTGGCGCTTTGAGGGGTGGATGGCCTAGCCTATGGCCTGAAGTGACGTAGTGTAGTAGGCCTCGCGCGCTGGGGTGACAACCACCACCATCACAGTTCTCATAAGATGGCATGGTAAGGTGTAGCCTTGTAGGTCTGACTCTTTAGGCCGTGCGATGGGGGTGACAGCCACGACCAACGCTTCCACTCTTGACCTCTTCGAATTAAAGTTTAGATTAGTCACAACATATCCTGAAGGGATGGTCAGATAAAGAAATGAGTCAAAATGGACTTGGAATAAAGTTCTGCTGTCGAATATATTTTCAGATTAGGTTTTACAAGCACCAATCATTCAGAGCATCATATTCATTTCCACCTTTTGGTGTACACCCACGCACTTCTTCAGGGGTGAATAATCCTCCCATCAGTTTCGGGACACTTTCAACCCTCTCCATTAATTCCTCTGGAGCACTGTATGTCTGTGTCTGTACACACATGCAAATATCATTTGAACCAGGACTCCGTAACCCTTAAAATTAATTTCTCCTAAGAGGAGAATAATCCTTGTTGCATACAATTATTTGTAAGACTTGCTCCCGAGAAGTTAAACTGGAAATGTTAAGAGAAACATTTCGCTCTATATCCTCAGACAATACTTACTGCCTACTTACTGGACTTTATTCAGCATCAGCCACTGTCTTTTTAGAAGCAGGCAGGGGTTGATAGTAAAGAATGAGATGTAACAGTTGACGAGGCAGGGGATGCACCAATAGGGTGATCCAGTCTTCTTGTTTGATTTGCGACCCTTTTGGCTGGGTGACTCGGAGGCAATGCTACCAATATCTCAAGTTCCCTCTAAAAGCTGGGAGTTCTACAGGGAGAAATACAATTCCAGTTAGTGAGGAGCAGAACCTCAAGGCATATCATCACTTAGTATAAGCAAAGGTTTTTCGTTATAATATAAACACAAATTATTGCTTGCATTGTTTCAGATCACTCGATTTTACTATTAAAGTGTATGCTATTCTATGACCATTGGGGTAAGCTTAAATACATGTCAGTGCCGTGCCTGGCGTGTCATAACCAAGAGGGAAGATAGACAGACTGGTGATGTGGTTCTTGAGCTATTGGCATATTCTGACTGTGATAAAAGAAGTATAGCTTTTCTTTATGTAAGTGAATTACAGAGTATGAATCTGTTTAGAAGATTACAATAAAAGAGCAGAGTTAGGAAAGGTTTTCGGAACTGGGAATACCAAACTTGTTGGGCCTATCCCCAACACAACCATCCCTGGGATGGATCAACTTGATGCAACTTCAGTTTATCTCATCCATGAGTAGACTTTGTCTTGGAATTGCAGGTTAGCTTCCCGACGGATGGAGAGTTCTTTGGATGGAGAAGAAAGGGAAAGCTATTGAAAATTGGGTTTCACCTTACTCCATCCCATTATATCTGACGAGAGTGCTGCGTGTTGATTCGATGGTTTTATTCTGACCTCGTATATTAATTAGACTAATATTAATACTTAAATTCCGATTGCCGCGGTTTGATCTGGAGTGTAGGCCATGCTGACTAGCAAACATTCGGATAACCGTAAATTTAAAAAAAAGGCGCCCACGGTATTTTCCTCTCAGAACTAATCATGATGGCACGAGGAACTTTAGGTAGGCCTAACGTTCCTCGTTCGCACTGATATCATTCATGAAACACAAAACAGCCCTCTAATTGATGTAACGTTACATGTACCCTCTCGAAAGAACCACGTGAGACTGATTTGGCCTAACGTTACCCGTCCCTGACGAGAAAGGATTAATCCTTATAGGCCTACTTGGTCCAGGAAGTCGAGGATTGACCTTCTTTAGAACAAATGAAAGCTAAGCTTGGACTGTCTTTGGGTGGGTATTATACGTTATGCGCTCCGCAGCATGAAACCAAAGAGTGGGTGACTGTCTTTACTTCTGGAGCTATGTTTTGGAGAACATGTACTTCTTCCTTTGGAAGAAGCCATGATATTAGCGCTAAAAGGCAAATGGTAAATTCAGAAAATTTATTTATGATAAATGATTGTAGTGACTGGAGCATTCTTGCAGTGTACGTATATAAGAGTAATACAAGAATTTATAGAGTATGAGACGAGATGACCGAGAGTGTAAATGACGAAATTGTCTCATGCCAGCAGCATGAAGAGGAAAAAAAGTAAAAGTATGAAAATTGTCAAAGCCAAAACTTGAGGCAATAAAAGTGAGAAAGGTCAGAATCCATGCAAGTCAAAAGGATAAAACAGAACGATAAAAGGGCCTCTCCTTTTCACTGTTGGTATTGAAGTCCCATATCCTCCAAGATGTCAAGGAAGGGAGAGGCTTTATGAATGGTCCGCCACCAACCTTCCGCAAGGTGAATCTGGAGAAGTGCGAGTCGGGTCCCCTCCCTCTCTTCAGGATCCTAGCTTTTAGATGCGCCCAGGAGCTTTCGATTCGCTGTGTGTTAGAAAAGTACCGACACTATTCGGGACGAAATAAACTCTAGGTATCTATATCCATACCGTTAACTGAGTCCCCGAATTCCTGGGAGTGGTTCACTATTTCGTGTGTGAATTCGTACCGGTGCAGCTCCTGGTACGCCCCCCACTCGTCCGATCGGATCTTGGTCCCTGGTTGAATGTGCTTCAGGATGATGGGAAGCAGGGTGTACCGATCTCGCCTTTCCACAAGAAAATGGCGAGTTTCGGAGACTTCAGGAGTGGATGCTTCCACACCATCCCGAATACCCTGGGAACAACGACCTGTTTACCGTTGGACGGGATTGTGGAAGATTCGAGTTCACGAACCGGAACAGCTTTAATCAATTTCCACTTACTGCCCAGGGCCGCCCATCGGAGGTGCGCTCTCCAGCTTGCGGTACAGGAGCTCCCGAATGAAGTTACGCCAGTCAACGATGGTCTCATCACGTGCCCAGCAATGCACAATGGACAGAACTGTCCTAGTGCTGAACTTGGAGCACGGACGATCCTTGATATCCTTAAAAGAAAAAAATGTGCCTCCCTTTCGACCTGCTGCTGGACCCCCGAGGACATACGGACCATTCCTGGAGCTCCAGTAACGCTTGCATTTGCGGCACCTCACGATGGGGAAAGTGTTTCCGCTTTTGTGCTTTCTTGTCGAGTCGTACAGGGTCCCATAGAAAAACCGCACAGCATAACAACTCAAAGGCGCTCAATTCCTATCCATAATTGTGCATGAATGCCAACAAACCTGGGCAGCCGGGGTACTTGCATGGGGGAGGTTGTGTAAGGCTGGCCTGAGGGAGGAGGTGACATTCCCTTGCGAAGGCGATGGTGGGTTCCTCATTGGCAGTCAGAGTTGCAAAATCATGGAGATCTGGATCGCGTCTGATTTCCATTGTGTGGAGTTGAGGAGGAGTAGACTGAAAGCTTACATTCTCAGCGTAGTTTATATAGGTATCATTTCAGTGCGACGGGGGCTAAGTGATATAGATCGGCGAGAAAGTTGAAGTTGTGCGCATAACATATAATACCTGTTTAGTCCTAACTGACAGGCGTGACCCAGTCTAGCGCTTACTTGGGCTCCACTGTATGTACCAGAATGGATTGTCTAACCGTTGGTATGGCTGTCCTGGCTCCCGCTCCCTTTTCCCCCAGCGTACACAAAGTATTCAACTCTTGTAGGATATAATTGGCTCTCCGAAAAATGACTCTCGCTACACTACTGGCTACTGGGTTAAGACCAGGGTGCCCAGAAAATGATTTTGATGAAAAATTTAGCGTTCTTCTTGAACGAAGTGGAGCGCGCCAAGTATAGAGCAATCGGACCAATCGTCCCTCTTTCCGTTTCACGTTTCTGAAATTTTCATATCAGACCTTACGGAAAGGACGAGTTTTCGATCCGTTTTTTTTGCAACATTTGGAGATCTGGCGTGTGCTTTCTGTTTTCGAAAAGTTATCGCCTTTTTTCATCACTTCTCGAATAAAAACTAAGCTCTAAGTCGGCAATGGTGTCTCCTGTTTCTAGAATTTTGCGCTTGCTAAGCCTATAATATGGTACAATGTGACTTTATCACCGCTTCCACATTGCCCTTCATTTGATCATCGGTACTCTGATAGGAAACACGCGCAAGCCAATGAGTTCTTGTTTAACATATCGCGTACCTGACATTTTACCCGTCGATCCGCCGCTCTGGTCTAAGCCTTAGTTACTTTACTCGACTTGCCTTGTCGAGTATTGAAAACAGAATCTCCTGTTATTACTCATGACACCTAATGAATAAATAGTGCCAAGCATCTTTTAACTGTTTCATTTCATGTGTAAATCCCTGAGTCTCCCCAGAAACACCCTGTACAATAAATGGAAGACTAGAACTCACGCGGAAATTGACTTCGACACCGATGTGGAAAACTTCCAGGAAAGTGATCACCTAGATCACAACCCGCCACAATCGCAAGTGTCCAACGCACAAAAAACGCGGTGATCGTAATCGCGACTAAAACCATTATTAGTGCAACTCGCCCGCGACAATTGCAACTGGATTCCTGACGACCCCTACCGTTGGAGTTCGCCATTGCCCGGGACACGGCAGCAATCGCGAACGTGTCTCCAAAAATCCCCGCAAAAGACCCAACAGTCGTCAACGCACTTCTGACAACCATCACTATCAGGATGGAGATAGAAATCCGTGTCTCCATGCCTCTCATGTTGCATGCACCTCTTGCGTTTTCTGCACTCTCGAATGGAAAGGAACAAGACACAGAGAATCCCCATCGCACCAATGATGCAACCGATTGTCAGCAGGACTGCTCCCAATGTATCCATGTCTCACCTCGACCGCTTTTACACGACGTCGGCTTTCTTAAGAAGTATCCCGAGAGCGGTGTCACTTTCTTCGTTCTGCAGGATTCTGGAACAATGAAAAGGCTTCGTTCCACGGCTGCTAAGACAACATATCATGGTTCATATTGGAATTACCTCGAGTTGATTTCGAACGCTAATGCATAGATCATCACCTTGGGAAAAACGATTTGCCTCGGGAAGGGGTTTCCTATGAAACACGGAAGAGAAGAATGCACTTGTATAGGGTAACTTGGGCGAGAATGACCTTTTGCAGTATATACTTAAATAATTGAATTAGTTTACGGCGCATTTTATTTATAGTTCCGTGGAAGAATGCATGCGATTGCCGAGATGCTATGCCCTCTTGATTAATCCATTGCTCACAATTCGGAATAAATTGACGTTTTGAAAGTCATGTGCATGCCATTATTCACAACATGACCTCGAGCAACTCAAAACTCGTATTTCCTAGTAGCAGCAGGAATACAGAAACCACTTGTTCGAAGTTATTTTCAAGTCCCTCCGGAATGCTTGAGGAAAGCGCCAGCCTAGCCACTTGCGGTTTCCAGGCGGTGTGATCCACTTCATCATGAAGCTCAGGCAAGGGAACATGGACTCATCCTTGGTTTCACGGACGCACTGCACTGACCTATCGGCAGAACTAGATTATTTTAGGAGGGACCTCAGGCTTCGATATATCATGGAACATCCGCCGGATATCCGCTGCGGACGTACGGAGACCCAATGGACAACCGCATGAAAAAAGTAGTAGATATCCTGAGGCAACGCTTCCTGGGGCCCTTTTCATGGAATTTACAAGCTCTACAAGTTACTAGAATTACAAGGGTCGTGTTGTAGTTGTACGAAAGGCCAGCGGGACCAGCTGGAAGAGTTAAACAAGGAGACACGACCCTTGCAATTACTTGTAACTTGTAGAACTTGTAAATTCCATGAAACAGGCCCCTGGAAACCCGTTTCATGTGTTCTATGCACGTTTGTGGCGTGAAATTTGAATATCGGTAAATATCATTCATACAAATTGTAAATGCCTCCAGTGGTTTTTTATATTACTATTTATATATAAATAATAAAAAACTACGCAACGTTCTTCCCGCTCTCTTGAACTTCTTCCTTCACACTCGTAACTCTTTTTCATATATATTTTCCTAAGTGATTACTCCTCTTGCAACCACCGTCTCCCTATCACATACAATGCTACTTACAGCAAAAAGCGTTACGATTTTGCTTTTCATGGCAGTTCTCAATACATAACCCAAGGTTTTGTAAGGTATGTGTGAAGTGCCCACATCACCCCTTATGCCTGGTCATTTTCTCTCATATGGCCTCTTGGGACGAGCTCGAAAAGGATACATATGAGCACCACACATCATATGTTGCACGTACTTTGCTGGGTTCGAGTGATGAATAAATAAATCTATTTTCGAAGATTGGTGAAGTCAAATTTGACTTTGCAAGGTCATTACCCCAATCGCATACCGTAACTGTTTGGCCTATGTTTGTGATGCCTTAGCCTGACCACATGGTCTACCAGCCTACGCATATTTATTTCTTAGGCTAAGGAGAAGAAGACGGGACTGTGCGCTTGTGAAGGCGAGTGGGTTGACTCCAAAGTAACACAACATGCAGATGAAACGTTTCCGAAATGTTGCCTATGTTACAAGTTGCTGTACAACATTGCTAAAACATTGCTTCAATGTTTTCACTTGGAATGTTGCTGGGACGCTTTTACGAATGTCATTGGAATATTAGCTATCAACATTGAGAGAATGTTGACACTCTTGACATCGACNGTGAGATGGTTCATTGCATGGCTGTTAGCGTGTGTGATATTTCAATCATGTGGACAAATTTATTTTCATGACTAAACAAGTTCAACCACTAGATCTACGTTGGTTTGAAAATTTTCTAGACATATCGACAAAAACTAGGCTTGTTGTCTAATGGGTAACTTTCCTCTCATGACATTCCGAATCCTTCACAGCGAGAAATTCCCAGCCCAATATGACGTTGCGTTACTTGCTACATAATGGATTTTATCTCATAAATATTGGATATATTATGAAATGAACCGATGGGAAAACTCATAATAAGTTTACGGTAAGAGACAAATTGTTGACAATTTCCAGCGACTTGTATCACCACATTTAAGAAACATACTCAAGTTCCATTATGCGATTAACACCTGGAAGTCCCTTTTATGATGTATGCCGTTCACTGACCAATTACCATTGGAATGGCGTAATGGAAACCCATGTCCGAAGAAAGAAACCTTATTCCTTCCAAACCCGTTTCTGTGGCAGGTCAAAGATTGAATCGCATTTCGAGCAAATGAGATCTGCGTTGCCCACCACCCAAGGTCTGCGTGAAACCCATCGACCAATTTAAATTACTTTTCCAGAGTTCCTAAAATATAAAAAAAGGGAGTTGGGAATAGCTCTGATGAAACCACCCAAGTTCGTCAACTCTCTCATTGGGTGAGATTAATGCATCTTCATCAGCAAGGGATTAATGCACTCAGCATCACGTATCTTCATCCTCCAAGAAGCACAATTGTGTTGCGTGCTTGAAGGAGCGATGCCTTATCGATCACAACTTTTTGGCCACACCTCAGAAAACTAGGTTTTTTATTTCCCTGCTCGGTGAAAAACATGTCGAGTGGATGACCTTCATCGAACCAATGTACGTTCGAAATCGAGAACGTTAAACCCATGTTTTATTTTTAACTATCACGATTAGCGACCTCGCCTTTCACGTATTTTTTCGTAAGGCCTTCCTAACAATGTGACACACGTTCGCTAGTTTTCGTGTCTTTCTCTTTATTTTTTATTTGTTTATTTCCGTTTGGGGTCAAATGGACCCCATAATACCTTCCATGTAATATAGGTATTTTTCTCTTACTTCGAGGTTCTGTGACGTGCGCAGCGTAACACAATGGCGAAACGACGGGGATTGTCGCGCGAAGACGTACTGGCGTCTTTAGGTGACCTAGGTGACGTCGACAGTGAACATGAGGACGATATTGAAGATGGTTTGAGCTGGGATGAAAGCGACCCCGAACCCAATGAAGAGTCAGATTCCCACAGTGAACTAAGTGCAAGTGAATCAGATTCGGAAGAGGAGCAAGATGGTGACAGTCGTGAAATTCTTGGAAAAGACGGATATGTGTGGTCACAGAAGCCAAAAGCTGTCAGAAGAACACCAATGCGAAATATTGTCAAAGAGAAACCAGGACCGAAAGGGAATGGGTGTCAAGCAGACACACCCTTGAAATCATTTGAGTTATTTTTCGATGACGCCATGATAACAGAGATTGTGACATGGACTAACCAGAAGATTGAAGATGTGAAAACCAGTTACACAAGCAAACCTGGATTTCTGTACAATACAAGCGTGACAGAAATTCGCGCACTCATAGGCATCCTGCTGTTCTTGGGCGCCACAAAGAGCTCCAAAGAAAGTACTGCAAGCATTTGGGCGGAAGATGGTACTGGCAAGCCAATTTACATATCAGCGATGAGTCAGAAGCGTTTTTTGTTTCTTGTGTATTGCCTACGCTTTGACGATTCAACCACGAGGGCACAGCGAAGAGCCGATGACAAGTTGGCATCTATTCGCAACATATACGACAAATTTGTCGCAACTTGTGAAGCAAACTACACTCCAGGAACTGGGTGCACAGTGGGTGAATCTCTCCACGGATTCAGAGGAAGATGTAGTTTCAAGCAATACATACCAAATAAACCGAGTAAATACGGCATAAAGGTATACGTTCTGGCTGATAGCAAAACCTTCTACTCGGTTTCTTCCAAAATTTACATGGGAGCTGGCACTCATGCACCGGGATTGCCAGTCCCAACCCAAGCTGTTCTGGATTTGGTCCGTCAATTTCGGGAACAAACAGAAACATTACCACTGACAATTATCACACGTCAATTTCTTTGGCCAAGGAGCTGAAATCCCGAAGTCTCACTTTGGTTGGCACGATGAAAAAGAACAAAGCGTGCATTCCACCCAGCTTCCTGGCGAAAGTAGCAGGAGGAACGGTTCAATACGCCTTTGATCTTGCAAACAATTTCATTCTATTGTCCGTTGCTCCAAAGAAAAACAAGAGGGTCGTCTTTCTGTCCACTATGCATTCCGAAAAAAAAGACAGAGGAGGATACTGGAAAAGAAGAAATAAATGTGTTTTACAACCAGGAAAAAGGTGGTGTGGACAGTCATGATCAAATGTGCAGATTGTACACCACGGCAAGAAAAACAAACCGTTGCCCAATGAGGGTCTTTTATGGAATGATTGACAGCGCTGCCTTGAACGCATTTGTTATTTTCATTGAAAATGTGCCCAACTTTGGAGAATATAAGACAAGCGAAAAAAATTATTGAAGGAACTGGCCCTTGCTTTGATCATTCCACATGCACGTCAGAGATTGGAAGCGCAGCAAACACTGCAAGATGTCAAACAGGTCATTCGCAGTTGCGGCATTTTACCAGAGGCACCCTCATCAGCACCATTCAGGACAGCGCAAGAGACGCTACATTTGTCCCAGATCAATGGACAAGAAAACCAAATTCATTTGTAATGAGTGCAATAAGTTTGTGTGCGAAGAGCACAGCAAATGGTTGTGCAACCAATGCCAGCAGTAAAAGTTAGGCCTACAGTGATGTAAAATAATCAGAAACTCACACATGAAGTGTTGTGCAATATTATTTGGATTTTGTAATACATTTTCTGTATCTGCTTCTATACAGGCTACTTGAAAGTTCCTAAGACAAATACGCCTCTGTCGATATTTGAGTACAAACGTTTGTTGTATATTATTTGGAGAAAAACAAAATATTGTAATAAAGTGTTTTTATTCTGGTAATATAGTACGTTTTTTACCATGGGGTCAAATTAACCCCATGGTACTGTCAACGTAACTTTCTTCATGGTATCAGAGCAGGGTTAAAAACGTTGCTTCACGGGCACCTAATCTGAGCCTATATTGGCGTTACGGAAAAGCGTAGGCTTCACTGGTCATGAATTGGACCGATATTCGACCAAAATTGCATTATATATTTCATCCTATCGTACCATATACTTTACCACTCTATTCAGACATTCTCATCAACTGGACGAAGCCTGTACTGGTTTTACTCTCTACCCATGCATAATACAGTGTCTGTATCATGTACATGCAGGAGACGGCACATTCTTGGAGGTGATCTTCCCCTGGATGTGTTAAATTGCACAATACAAGAAAAGGTCCAACCGTAATGTTCTATGGAGTGTCCACGAGATGAATCCTTCGTTTCCTCAGCTGGTACCCTGAATGTGGATATGAAGGATTGAGATTACAGACTAGTTACGATCGTTTTTTTGTCCTGTAGGATGAAAGGGTTCTTTTTGGGAATATGAGCATTTTTTTCTTGACCCCATTAATCTGTCTGGAAAATGAGGATAACAGGCGATGAAGTGTCCGTGTTCGTTGATTCCTATAATGAGACAATGTGAGACAATGGCAAGGTACTAGACATTCCTGTGCGGGACTATTCCAGGGAAAGGGAGAAGGGCACTTTTGTGTACTGTGAGAAAACGAGACTTACGTCTCCATCTCGTGGCAAGGAGAACAACTTTACAATTCTCTAAAACTTCTAAGTCCATGTTGTATCAGAATGTTGTCGCTACATTGTCGATGTCAAGAGTGTTAACATACTCTCAATGTTGATATGGAATGTTGCAATGACATTCGTAGAAGTGTCTCAGCAACATTCAAAGTGGAAACATTGAAGCAATGTTTTCTCAATGTTGTACAGCAACTTGCAACATAGAGCAACATAGGCAACATTTCGGAAACGTTTCATCAACGTACTGTGTTACTTGGGGAAGTCCTGGTGTGTACAGGAGACGTCGTAATATCGTCTGGCCCTTTTTCCATCGGCGTTTCTTATCAAATATTTCGGATCGGCTTGGTAGATAAATCAGAATCAGAAAAATATTCTTCAAAATGAGCCTTGGAATAACTCTTTCATCTGGATGGATGAATCTTCTTCAGAATGCATTGTACCTTGCGCCTAGCATTTGCTTCAGGAATATTGTGATGCATTTACGCGAAGGCACCACCTTCGAAGAGTATACATTTTTCGTATCAAATTATTTAATACCTCAAATAATGATTCATGGACTCCGGAATAAAAATATGTATATTCATACACGCACTCCTACATATTTTCCTTATCTCCATTACTTATTTGGTTTTTTTTCCTCGACATGTAATTGAAGAAGAATATGCGAACAAAAAATCAATATTCTGTCTAGGAGACGGTCTCCTTACAATGGGAAAAATTGGATAATGACGTTCACTATCAATTGATTACCTTGAAGCAGCTGTACGTCTGCACAAGTCTTCACAACCTCAATACTCAGCTCAAAATGGCTTAAGCATGAAGACAGTATCTGCTTTTATGCAATCTATCCGCCAAGTGGTTGCTTACTGCGCGGTAAAATTTGGCCCATGCATTTTATAGTATCAAAAAATCAATAATTAGCCGAGAAAAAAAACTTTGCATCGTATTCAATACTTTTTTGCGAACACTGTGAATACAGAAATTTCAAGTTGGAACCCGAGAAATGAACCACTGGAACACAATGCCAGTCATCTAGGAAATGCCAGAATAAAAAAAGGGATTTTCGCAATGGAAGCCAGATGGCGGAAGAGCCGCGTTTGTAGCAAGTCATCCCTGCGATTGTTCAGACGACTCAAAAAAGACCCAGCATCCCCCCGACGAACGTGAGGCTGCATATTCTCTGCATTCGATCTTCCATTCTTTCCCCCTCTTGGGGTTCGCTACATCGCTACACCACGCTGATCTCCGCACGGCGAACATTTTCATCATTCAAAGAAGTTCTTGGCCCTCCTGGCCGATCTGCCTCCTTTGTGGATTCTCTTCCTTCTAGCAAATTGATGAACCCTCTTGCGAGCTGTGCGGTCAGCAAGGGCAGCATCGCCACAGAACATCGCCCTCAGCTATTGGGGAATTTCAGTCGCTTTTTCTCCACGCATTGACAGAAAATTCCCGATAGCTCCTTAATCTTCAAGAGTGAAGTTAATTTTTTGTTTCGCAATCCTGAGTAACTCTCACTAAGATGTCCACAAAACAATTCCCTGAATGACAGCAATTTCACGGCTGACTAGCAAGGGACCGAGGAAGATATTGGCACCCGCCCTCACCCGGAAGGGTCAAGTGTCGAGTTCCGCTAAAAGAGGCCTCCGATACGAACATTTGGGACGAACATCGTATTTGGCCGATTCGCTTCAGTAGACCCCCCAAAGAAGTCAACATTTTGGGGCTTCACTACAAAGTTGTAGAAGGACCCCACGTTACTAAATACAATTGCCGTTGCTCCTCGCAGCGCAGCGAGTATGCTTGCCGGGAAGGCAAAAAAAAAACCACGCTTATGAATAATAATTATTGAAATTAAAATCCTTTTGCCTGAACCCTTTGCGGTCATGCGTCGGCAGGACCCGACAATAAACAAGATTAGTTCCGGTCATATGTCGGGTGTCACCCGGTTTAACAAATATATAATTTTTGCTCGCCGTCCTTTGTTCGGACTTCAAAAATATGAGTAATTTTAAGACCAATGTGTTTATTTAATCGAAGTCTGAATTAACCATTTCTTTTTGTTGAAAAAGGCTGAATAAATCATTGATTTTTGTTGAAATGTGTTTTTGTCTTTTTTCATTGAAATTAAATATGACCTGAGGGGACAATTAGTGGGAAATAAATATGACTGCAAAGGGTTAACTATTGTCCTACAATCCGCAATTGTAAACTGCAAGACTTTCAAGTTTCATATTACACGATAATGTGCACCTCTACCAGTAGACGCTCATGGCAAACACAATCATTACTCGTCATTCATTTGCGCAACATTACATCAAAGGAAGAAATCACGAACTATTTTTCTTAAGCCACAAATGCATGGACACTGAAGGTAGCTAACTGATTCTGTTTATTAATTTCTCGAATTTCTCTTCCCCACAGTTCCTGCCAAAAGAAGTTGAAGGAAATGAGTCAGCGCGAGTGATAGCAACCATGGCTTCAGCAAAATTTCATTCTTCGCTCTACAATGGATACAGCAAATACCCGACGAAATGAACGTTCCTATCTGAAGTCGAACCCGCTGATCCGAAGTCCAAGTAGGCGTCGACTTGGTCGCCAGCGTCTAGGGTTAGGAGGATGGATTGGCCTGGCGTCTGGCCGTCATCGTAGCCGTAGACGTCATCGGCGTACGCTTGTCCCTTGACGATTCCGTTTTGTCTCAGGTTCACCTGAGTCTCGATGTCGGAGAAGTAGTGCAAATGAAACGCATAAATACCAGGAGTTGGAGCGGTAAAAATGCCTGTGCTCGGTGACATTGCGTCGCCGATGTTGACCTCGGTCCCATCGAAACGGATTCTACCCGAATTCGTCTGGTAATTTACGAGATAGGCATCGAAATAGACGTTCTCCACGGCGATGCGGGCACCTGTCTCCAGCTGGAACTTCGGATCGGTCTCATCCAGATCCATTTGACAGAGGGCGACATCTAACCGTCCTTCTCTGGTGTTGATCAGGTAATAACCCGTTCGAGTGTGCCCGGCTTGGCGGAGAGATGAGCACGATCGTGTGGGCCTGTCCAATGGATTGTGGCCTTTGCATACCAAAGCTCCCAGAGTGTGTCTCGCCTGCTGGAAATCCAAACGAAGCCCTCCGAACCGTAGCTCGGTGATGGGGAGGGCTGTTCTGTTGGTGATGGCTCCCGAGTCTGATTCCCATTGCGGGGCTTCCGCATCGCAGTTGCAGGGCAGAGTAGGGTCAACGCATTCGTCAGTAAGACCGCATCTGCACATGTGCTTCTCAGCGTGTGCGCCATCCCAGTAATACTGTGGGTCACCGTGACGATCCACCCATCGGGCATTTTGTGTTTCTCCGGCTTTAAGGGCCGTGGACAAGCAGTCATACTGCGAAAAGGAATCCATGTCAGATTATATTGCTGACGATAACTCCAAATAAATTCTGAATAGAAGACAACTTGGTAAAGCGAAGGATTTATTAAAATCCTTCTCATAACGAAGAGAGGAGTAGGGAGAGTTGGATCGAGGAAGGGTGAGAGGCAGTTTCCTCCCATTAAAATGAGAAAATATTTTATTTATGAAGAGTTTATTTCCTCAAGTGGGCACAACGTATATGTATCCATCATGGTAAAACTCTCCCTAGGTGAGTTCAGCATTTTTTGCCCCGCCATATTTCGAGTTTCAGCTAAATTTGAATTCGAAACTGGAAATGAGAGTACTCGAACAGAGTAGAAAATGCCTACAATGTATTAATACTCTCAAGAAATTAGTTTTGAATCCAATGGGATATATCTATCATAGAAATTCCACGAATATGGGGATAAATGTTTCACCACAGGAGCACCACAAATTAATGTGGTGCTCCTGAACTTAAAGAGAAGTTAGAAACGCGTTGGCTGAATTCGTTGAATTGTCTAAAGATAATCGATGCCATTTCATTCATACCGTCATAATACAATCATCAAATTGTTGCTACCTGAGGAAGAATATCTGCATCTTGAGAGATTCCTGGAACTGGCACAGTTCCTGCCTCCTTCCTTTTAACCACCTCGTACATCCTTCTAAGCTCCTAGCCCTTTCTCCATCCCTCAATATCCATTTACTCCGGCACCCTTCCGTCATTCCTCCTCCATCCTCTTCGGTATTTTGTTTATCCATCCTTCTCCTGTTTCTAATATTTCCCTCTCAACCGTTCGAACCCTAAACCCCTCATTTCCCCTCTTACCACCTTCCCACCAGAAAACCATCCCTGGAAATGTCTAAGAATGAGCCCTAATCGTGGCAGGCAAGAGGCGTGTAGATGAACCTGGATAGATAAGTTCGACTCACTCTTATTTCCTGCTCGCATGACTCCGATTGATAAATCAATGCCTGCATCTGCTTGACCGATGCGTCGTAAGAAACGCTACGTCTGTAGCAGTCAGGATCCGGACAGTGATCAATTTCCGTATTTTCCATTGAATCGTGGAGAATAACAGTGGACACCGGATCTAAGAACAGATACAAGCGAGCAAGATGTACAACGTCTAATTTTGAATCGGAATGAACAAGCTCATTATTTGTCCTCGCCTGTCTCCATATCGCAGAGTACTTGGATGGGCGGATCGCCTCGGAGCACGCCGTCTGGGTCCACAAGGTAGGTTCCTGTCCGCGTTATTCCGAGGTCAGCCAGGCTCCCACACGTCGGAGGTGCTATAACACATTAGTCACGCGTTGCATGTCGTTACCGCGACGCTAAGCCTGAATTTCGATCGACTGTCGTGAAATTCACTGATTTGTCGAGTGACAGCTTCCAGATATTGGACCCTTTCTTCCATCACGTTCAGGTGAGATCTGATGTTGACGTTCTCAACATTCAGTCGAGCGTTGCTGCGCTTCAGCTCTGTGTTGTCCTTTGCGAGCTCTTCCATTTTTCCGAGAATGTTAGAAAGAATCTCCTCCAGATCGGGAGCCTTCCCTGGTTCAGGGATGGATTTCACTGGGATTTCCTGCCATTAAAATCAGTAGATGAGTAGTGAATACCAAAAGACAACAATGAAAATACTGAAAAGAACAAAGAGACCATGTTGGGATTCGCAACAAAGCTGAGACTGTAGGTGTGGGGGATTTTGCATTCAATCCCATGATGCTTTGAATTCCAATGTTATTCCTTCTACCTTCTCTCGTATAAACGGACAGCGCATTGTTCGGGAAAATTAAGGTAAAAGAGGATTTGAATGTAGGAACATATTGTAAAGCAACGTGGTGAAATGAAGTCTCTTGATCGTTCAGGGACTCAACACAGTTAAATCCGAGATTGGTGAAATTCGCTCTCTGGACGAGCATCAAGTCGGCCTTTAAAGGCCTTTAAAAAAAAGGGCCTTAAAAGGGAATCCAAAGAAAATACTTACCTCGCAGTTTTGACCACGATTGTTCCACAACTTTGCAAAGTTATTCATTACTTAGAAGGACGAGGCATTGACATCTCTGTCGAATGGTTCGCATGGAACTTGGGTCTCATGAGCATAAGCGTTTCCCCAAATTAATTTTAAAAAAGGAACTTCATTGATTTAATTTTACGTTTTTCATTACTCAACGGACAAGTATTCCTTTTTTAATGTACGCAACAGTATAGAGCATTCACATGAAAGTACCTGAATGGCCTGAAAAAAAGATTCCTAGATTTGGAAAACAAAGTTATTGTCAAGATTTCGGCTGAAAACTTCTGAAACCTCGTGTCCAAATTTTGCGGGTCCTCAACTATGAATATAACTTGTAACATGAAACTAACATCACTGAGTTCAATGTAGACCAATTTAGAAGGGGGAAGCACGGTGACAAGCTTGCTCGTTTTAAGTCACGAGGTGAACTCATATTGCTTAACGGAGTTTTGCGCTTCGACGACGATAACTTACAGTAGACCATCCAGGTTTGAATAATAATTCCATTAATGAGTTGAGATAAGTCCACGCTTCCGGAAAAATGATGAATTCTTAGTTCCGTATTTGATATAAGTCTGTGATGCACAACCCGCGGCCCCGGATAACATTTTTTGCGTCCCTTGGGTGCCACCGGTCTCTAAAAACCCATATTTACTAGCGGCCTATTTCGGCTCATGTTGAACATGAGCCTGGAACATGAGCCTGGAACATGAGCCTGGAACATGAGCCGAAATCCCATTTTGGCCCTTAATAAGGGAAAATGATGCGCAGCACAGGTCCAAGTTGTTCATGGATGCCTCTCGTTTGCTTACGTTTGTGCATTCCGTCGATGCAATAATTACGAGGACTAAAAGACTTGCAATGTCCCTCATTTCGATGACTGCGTTCCAAATTTTCCCTGGACCCTGGAGAAAAATGCAGAATCGTGCAAGTTAGTGAATTGGAATGAATTGAGTGGAGGACATTAATAACATATGAAACACTATAAAAAAAGGAAAAAGTCACTCTTTGAGTAAGAATCACTGTCTGAATCTATGCAGTTTTTGACAAAATTGAACTTTTCCATATCGTTATTCTCACCTCTTTGACGTCCGCTATAAGCTGTGGAGAAACCTGAAAACCTAGAGCCTCTTACTCTTCTCAGTCAGGCTTGTTTTTCTTCAGGCGTGCATGCAAGTATCACGCATTCCACCCTCGTTATCGCGGGATTCACTCCTCGTCCAGACGGATTTTTCCTCTCGTTTCGCAATTTCCCACTCCCAGGTGTTTTAGATCCCACGCGCAACAACTTTTGGTGTGTCGAAACGACCCACTTCGAACATTTCAGAGCCTTTGGAACGCTTTTTGCCCATTTCCCGAGGGGGAATACATCCCATTACACACATCGGCCCAAACGAAGAGCCTGAGGACCCCTAGTTTACTTCTTGGCGGTGTCATTTTGACACGTTTAAGTCCGAGGAAGTTCGAGAGGGGTGGCAATGTGCTGCGGCATATATTAGTTCGCACTTTCCTTCAATCCATCTCCCCAATCTCAATCAAGGCCTCTCCACCGTCTGATTCAAATCAATTTCTTCAAAGGTTTTAGTCTCACTTCATATCAAGAACGCATTCCAAAAAGTGAATTGGATTTCGGATCAAAACGGTATGTCGCTCGCTGACCTCTGTGGAGCATCAGCGAAAACGATGTCTCAGCTAAATGAGAGTGACAGTGCATGGGGGGACTATAGAAATAATGAAAAATAAAATGAAGACATGAAATATATATAGTTGTTGTATTAATATCTCGTATACGTATTGATTTTCTGTCACAGCATCCGTAGTTTAACCTTGGTGTGCCGGCTACTTGTGTATGACGAAGCGCTTCCTACAATGAAAAATTCTGTGCCTACACATGTATTTAATGCAATTTCTTCATCCCGTGTTGTTACATGCTCATATACGTTTACTGTTCCTGGCTATGCTTCAAGGAAATGCCCAATGTTCACAAATGGCTTCCCAGAGGCCCAGGGTCGTACAGTGCATTTCGAGGGCGCGGTTTTCACTTTCTCTTTCAAGGACGGACGGTCAGCAGATCAACAGGCTATGACGCCAACTGGACACCGTAGGTTGTAATTCTCCGATGATGATTAAATGAATCTAAAGTAATGATGAATCTGAAATTGCATAGATCAAACAAACACCCGAAACTCTATTTAATTATTTTTCCCTCTGCTCCTGTGCAATCAATACCTTGCATTGACTGCAGGTCTTGGCCAATGGGGTGCATCCGCATAGCTGGAGGAAGCTGATTCCGATCGATCTGAGGACGTAGCCAATGCGGATTGGACGAATGCTTGGCTATGGTCCTCGTTGGGGATCCGAGGTAGGACGACCTTCGGGATAATCTCTAGACGCTTCAGCAAAAGTAATGTTTCTCCTCATTGTAGTGGTACGACGTTCTGGGTGACTTCTAGTAAGTTTTCAATATTCTCTCAAGTGTTTGTGAGCGAATGATTTTTTGAGCAACATAATTTTCAATGAAGTTGGCAGTAGAGTCGGCAGTATTTGATATGAGATAAATTAGGAACAACCATGATTTTTAGCCATGACTTAATGAGCCAAACTTTTCGGCTCATGAGTCTAATTTGGCTCATGAGCCAAAGGTTCTCGACCCCTGATCTTAGGATACTTGTATTAAGCACTCGGTCTGATCTCTGCAGGTTTTGTTTCTACCACATATATGTTAGATTTTGAGGGGCTCTGAACTCCTTTTTTGCACGGTAGTGCCTGTTGTTCAGTCCTTTTGGTTAAGGCAATATCCCACGACACCTCGCACTGTTTTTGGCCATTAACAAACTCTTGTTAAAAGTATTCAACTATAAAGAATCAGAAATGAGTAATAAAATCCATGAATCAGTAATACATTCCCCTCAGTAGAATGCTGACAATCCTTGTGACATTTCTTCAATACCCATGACCGAGCAATTCAATTGACCGTTTTGCAAAAATTGACCACGGAACTGATTCCATCTATACAAAACCGTTATCCCCATCTGCTTCACCATTGTTTCAATCGATACTAAGTCGTTCACCTCTCAAGGTAAAGGTTCGAAGACGCACGTGCCATTGCAGAAGCCACAGACGTTCAATTCATGGTTTCACGGCAGCTACACCGAGTTTTACTTACTTTACTTCTGTTAGTTACTTTCTTGGACATATGCATGCGAGGGAGTGTACTCTATTAATAACCCCTTCGCTGCTCTATTAAATATAACTTTAATTGAAATTGGACATTGGAAGCTATAATTCTCCCTCGAGAGTACAATTGCACTCGACTGCTAGCGTGCTGGCCTGAGTTCATTATTTTTGAAATTCCTGATCGTGAGAGAGGCATACACGCATCTAAAATCGCATAATATAGATGGACAACTTGTTTATGTCTTTGCGACCTTTTCTCCTTTCGTCATTACAGATTTGCTCATAGGTGGATGTGTCAAGCCGAAACAGAGAACTTGTGAGAAAACGGTCAGCTTCGCACATGTTGCTGCGGAAGTGAGTCGTGCCGAGGCACTTCAAAAACATTTGCATGCATTCCTGAAACATTTTAATTCCCTACTGTCAAATTATTCTCTCTCGTATGTTTCATTTCCCGATTTTCCGATTAACACGAAGTACGAGTAGGCTGTTCTAATAGATTCATTCACTTCAATGCGATGCATGAATTGAACCCTTTTTAAATAACCAGAGTGGTGTAGCTGAAGGCTTACCGAAAGAAGGAACAACATAAGACATCAGCGAAAGAAAGCATTTGACGGAAAATCGCAGAAAATTGCACTCCATCGTGTACGTGCCTGTCCGCGTCCGCTCTTGCATCCGCGCCATTGAGTACTGATATTTTTTACATGAATTCCTTAACATATAAAGATGTGCTTTTCCCACGGTTAAACGTTTTGCTCTGACGTATGGTCTCCCTTACGATAACGAAAAACTTAATTTTTCACTGGAAAATAAAATTTGCACATCATGGCTCATGACGTCTTGAGATGACATTAAGCTTGAATGTCGATTTAGGGATTCGGGACATTATTTGCTACTGGCGGTGATTTCCTGCCTGCTTCGGAATGAATCGGTCGAAGTTCCCACATACTGGGCTGTATTTGAAGGGCAACGATATGGAAACACCTCAGAAGAAATGAATGGGATTGATTTTTCGCATTGCAGTATGTCATGCATGAAGCACAACGAATCTCATCCCTGTTATGCATTCAACTTCAGGGAAGCAGATAGATCATGCCAGCTGATCCGCAAAAGCAAGAGCCATATCGTCAAATCCGAAGGGTACCAGGCATATGTTCAATGTGAGTGACTTCAGGCGAGAAGTCCATTGTGATGAGTAGACTGATTATAATAAGAATTTTCGAGTTTTCATTGTGAGTCTGTTTTCCAAGGGCAAAGGAACTCGTAAAATGTCGCGTCTTCAGGAGTCGACAATATGAAGTACCAGTTAAATATTTCAAACATCCACTTTAGGTCAACCCACCTCTCAAAACGATTCCTTCTATAGTACACATCCTTGTGTATCATTTAAAAACTTGCGTTTTTCTGGTGTCACGTTACTTCTAGTTGTGTAACCTTATCGCCGAAGAAATTTTAACATCTTGGGCATTCCAGCTCAAGTGGTCAAGGGGTGGTTGCGCGTCAGACCCAGATTTGCTTGAAAAAAATCTGTGCATGTTGACATTGAAGACTTGTGAAAGCGTTTCAAATTGTAGCACTCTGGTTCTAACGCTTTTCGAGATATCCAGCCGTAAACGTGGCCCCAAGAGAAAAAGTGACCTTTAGGGTAATAACGCTGTCTTTGGTTCCAGTCAAGCTAGAAAGGCGTACTTGGACTCTAATTAAAGCTGAGATAACACAGGATCACACTATGAAATCCATTGTCTACTACATTTATCATCAAGCGAGTTACACAAATTCAAATATTACAAATATTGCCGAATTTTGCACGCAAATTTTGAGCATTAGGATGCATGGCAACGCAAGGAGGTTTTACAAAATTGTAGACTATAGCAATACCAATTTAAGAACAAAATGTCAACTTCCTGCATTATTTGAAACAACTTTAAATTAAGTTTGAAAAGTCTCAAGTTTTCGTCTCATTCCGGGATGGAAACTTGGTGTGTGTAACTCGCTTGGTGATAAATGTAGTAGTAGAAAATGGATTTCATGATGCGTGCATTATCTCAGCTTTTATTTAAGTCCTACTGCGCCTCTCTAGCTTGACTGGAACCAGAGACAAAAACGTTTTTACCCTAAAGGTCACTTTTCCTCATTGTGGCTAAGTTTATGGCTGGATATCTCGAAAACCGTTAGAACCAGAGAACTAAAATTTGAGACGTTTTCATGCCATCAATGTCAACATGCTCACATTTTCCCAAGCCTATCGAAGTCTGAAGCCCAACGAAAGTGACTAAAAGTTGACCACTTGAGCTGGAATGCCTCATCTAGGAAACGGAGATTCTTCGTTTCTCCTCAAAAAAGTCTCCTGAATTTTATCCTCATCCAAAGCCTTTGTTAACGCAACAATAATATATCGTTTTCCTTGAGGAAAAATGTTTAATCTTATCGTAGTCCACACCCCCCAAAAATCGTGGAGAGTTCCATACACTAATTTGTTGGATTTTCTCTCAAATCCACATTTCAAAACTCCCTTCATCAATGTTCACTTTTCTGGAGGTGTCAAAACTAGGAGGATAACTTCCAGCACGTCCTCAGGCTACGAACGCTCGACGACGTAACTCGAGAGAAACTTTAGCCTCACATCATCGTGTCGGAAATGGAGATCTCTGATTTCATTTTTTTTTATTTTGACCTTACCTCACATGCAGTCCTATGCCTTACGGACTACCCAAAGATACAGAATGCTGAGGAAGTTTTCCATGATTGGACTGGTGCATATCCTGCCCCACGGGGGGGTCAGGTGGTATTCAATTGCAAACACCCACGAGGATTCGCTGACGGCCACGAGGTACACATGGCCACCTGCGCTTCCATGCGACCTGATGCATGGTGCACCACATTCACGGACAAACAAGCTATCACCCTTTGTCCACCTCCACGTAAGTATTTCAGAGATCTACTTTCTGAGAAACATTCCATCATGAATAATATATTTTTTTATGGATGTTCAACTTCTGAAGGCATCATTATGATGAACAAGTGGTGTAATTGCGACTGGAAATGTCCTAGGGCACCTATATTTATTTTTTTATAGGAAACCAATAGACTTTCCTATAGGTTTTTGAAACACGAAAAACCTATAGGATCCTATAGGATCCCTATAGGGTCGTATAAGACTCCTGACCTATAGGAATCGGGGAGACTTCGTAGGCTTCGAAACCTTGGTATTATAACAGGAATGACAACAGGGGTCAATATTGACGCAGTATTTTGGTGCAAATTAATTGCCGACTAAGGGTTTTCCCTTGGTATTTTTCGCATTTCTAACACTTGTACTGCCTAGGCCTGTTTAATTTATTGTGCAGGTCTACATATGGAATGGGCAGAATAACTTGTCCACAACCTTCGGTAGGGAGAAGTATACTTCTTCCATCCGCCTAAGAAAAATGGCAGACAGAACCTGCGAACACCGTTTCTTTCCTGAAACTTCTTTTGGATAAATTCTAGTTTTTCTCGTACGTGGTTCTTATAGGGAATGTGAGCATATTTCTGACCAGGACTCTATGATTCTAACTGGAAGATTGGTATAAAAATATGAAAATGTCGAAAATTCTTGATTGCTACAATGAGGCAAGGCGAAACATATGGGTAGGTACAAAACACTCATGTGAGAGATGATTCCATGGATAAAGGGGGGGAGGGACTTTTTTGTACTGTGAGAAATGCGAGAACCCCATACCTCCATTTAGTGGCCTAGAGGAGAACTTAAAATGGAACCCTATAAGTCCTATAGGGTTCCCTAAAGGCCCAATAGAGAAAGTACAATGCATTTTCGTAGGGGGTTGTAAAGCCAAAAATCGGCCGTCAGGGATTCAAGACCTGGAAATATATTTTTGTTGGTGTCTTAGAGAAGTATTGGTTTGGGTCGCATTGTCATCTTCGACAATTATTTAGTCATGAGTCCCAAAGCCAAATTTGCTGCTTGATAGCCATTTGACTGGTCGAATCAAAACTAGGGCTGTACCAATATCCTCTTACGTATGAGGCAAGACATCAGTATTATTTATGGTAGGAAAGAGCGAGGAAAAACGGGTAATCATGACTGAAAAGTATTCCGTTACGGCACCATGATATCTCGAGAGCGACAGATACCTGCATGCGTTTATAATTGCCATTCAGCATATTGGTTAGATTGGGTAAGGCTACATTTGACGTTTCTGCGACCAAGGATATGGGATATAACGATGTTGAACGAGCGGCTTCGAAATCCTGACCTTTGACCTCACATCATTGCCCGGGCCGTGACCTAAACGAGACGGCAGTCGACTCCAAGGGCCTTTCTCCAGGTCCCCTACAATAATTATTGAGCAGAATTTCGATACGGGGGGACGATCATTTACTTTGTCATTGTACACTAAGATTGCAATTGAATCCTTGCCTGGGGTCTTACTGTTAGGGAACCTATCATTTGATAGCGGGGTGGCGTGGATAGCTACGGCCTCCATGTTCTTGCCACATTGCTGGGTGACTACATGTTGCCCAACTTTACATCTCCTCCCCGAAGTGAAATAATTAAGTCGTGGGTCTCTCACAAGCAACGGCGGTTGTTTGTCCCGATGCTGGGTCTGGCCGCTCCCTCGGCGATTCTCCCTTGCAATAACAAGTTCTGGTACTGTGTAGGAAGGAAGCGATTCAGGCCGGATAGGATCCTCATCAATATGCTAATTTCAAACGTATTCCCCTTTCATGACAGTGTCATGCTTGAGTGAACACCCAAAAATGGAGAATATGACTATGAATGTGACCTACAAAGACTGGGATGGGAAATACCCTGCACCTCCAGGAGCAACTGTCATATTCAGCTGCCCTGCAAGGTTCAATGACGGGTCCTTCGAACACAATGCTACTTGCTCCTTGCTGCGTGATCATGTCTGGAACACTTCCTTTCAGGACAAGGATGTGCGATGCCCACGTGAGCCTCTCCGGTTATATCTTTGAAAAACGTCATTTCTTGAAAATACGCGGGCAAGCTGAGAATCTCCTGAGATAAGTGGGAAACATGCGAACCGCGCGAGTGCTTAACAGAAGTTCGAAAACCGTTCCATGGTCGACCAATATTTGCACAAGGCTTTAATAAAGAACAGAGACATTCGATGTCAAGTGGTCAAAAGACGGTTGGTACAGCGACTGGGGTTTTGTCGTTAAAAAAATGTGCACTGGGGGCTAAAAGAAAAGGATGAAACTGAAATGAAACTTAAAAAAGTTCCAATTTAATGAACGTCTCTAAAACTTCAAATTGCCAAACCCCAAAAAATTTTACTGCGAAAGTGCTAATAACTGGACCAGTTTTGAGGTTTTTCCTTGCTTATGAGATTATTTGAAGTATTAAATCAAAATTCTGCTATGCGTACTTTAATTTGGAAATATAGCCGTATTTGCTCAATTCTGACCTTCAATAACTTCCATTACTCCACCTCAATCATGCTTGAGCAAGAAAACAAGCAGAAAACATATTATACTGGATACTGTGGGTTTGATACGGCTTGGAAAACATACGCGCAATTTAACAATTTCATATTGTTTAACATTATATTGCAATTAACATGACTTCGAATATTAAAGTTTTAAAAACATTAATCATTGCGTTGATATTAATCAAACTATAATATATTACTAAACCTCGATCTCATGCATCTCACCAAATACGTTTAATTATCGTTTCAAGGAAAGAGACCAGTGTTTGATGCCTATTTTCATATTAGGGGCTGTTTATCCTCAATGCCGCCTTTCGGAGAGTGGGAAGGAGTACATCGGGACCACAAACGTGACAGAAACGGGGAAATCATGCCTCAGGTGGGATTCCGAGCAAGTGACTTCATCTTATGATTCATTGGATGCAGGGTTCACTGATATATTGGCCTACGAGGAGCACTTCCTGAACCAGGACCCGTCCTGGCACAAGAACTTCTGCCGGAACCCGACTACGATGTCGAGGCCCTGGTGCTTTGTTGACGATTATGGTGTGAAGATGGAGTTTTGCCGTATTCTCCTTTGCGATGATTTGAGTGAGAAATTTCTTTAGTTTTGTATGGAAGGGTTTTGTAGGTAACTTTATGTCTGATATTGGAGAATATGAAGATGTATAGCCCCGCTGGGATTCTTGGCATGGCTTTAGGAGGTGGCAATTCGGTTTTCCTTAGGTTATAAATTTCTTTCAAGGAAGGGATGAATTGCTTATATCGCACTCTCTGACAGAACTAAAGCGTTGGTTCTCATTCCCCACGTGATGATACCGCTCTAATTAGACAAGGTTCCGCTTGAGATTGACCTTGAGTAATTAACAGGTACAGTAACTACTTTTGGGGTAGAAGGGAAGAGAATAAAGGAACACGAATTCAATAGTTGAACAGGAAATAATAGAGATCAGATCCTGCGAGAGTATGGGCGTGCATGATTTGTCACTGGACAGCCACCATCGGGGTGAAAAAGATCACCGTGATACATTGATACTTGGAAACTTAGATGCTCACTTTGATACCAACCGCCTTGTGCTTTCTTGACCGACTGCATCACTTTAATGAATTTCATTAACGCGAATGCGTCATCCCTCTTTCAAGAATGCATTAGTTAATTTCATGGGCAGCGCGATGCATTGCCCGCCAGACAATACCTTGGTACATGTATTGGCTTAGGGGTACATTCAAGGTCATCCTATAATCTCGCCCAAATTAATGGATACTTTCACATGGGTGGTCCAATGTCATTATTCGTGACCATGTTACTTCCCTCACAGTTAACATGGAAAATCTAGAATCGTTTTAATTGAAACTACTCCAACGAGGGACTCTGAAAAGACGACTTCCGACCTTGTGGCAGCATATTTTTCTCCGAGATTGGAAGTCGAAGTTAAGTGCGAATAAACTGACTCATCTCAAGAAGCCAGAGATTGATGACCACAGGCGAAAGATGAGTGAACTCAGGTAAACATAGGGAAAAATCGGGTGGGGGACGTTCCTGGAACTTGAAAATAAGCGCTAACGAACTTGTTCCAAATAGTAGATAAGCTAGGGCTATCTGCCCCATTTTTGGGCAAAATGTCGAAAATTTATTGGAAGTCCTTCTTCCAAGAACATTTGACTCGAATTGTCGCCTAAAGATTGTTTTTGAAGAGTTACTTAAATTGGCGTCGAATGAGAACCGCACATTTCATTTCAGTAAAGCTGCAAGAGACTTGAGATTTTCTTACCCAGCAGCCATTACTCGATTGGCAGATGCAATGACCTACCCTTCGTCAATTTATTTCTCTTTTCTTCCCCTGCGAAATGTGGCAAATGAGGATATGGCAAATGGGTAATATTTTGGAACATTCTCCGGCAAACATTATCATTTTATTGCAAGTAGTTATCAATATGTCAATTTCTGAAGCCACAACAAAAATTTAACACCGTCCATTTAAATCATTTGTATGAAAAGCTTAAGGTTTCCAACCGAACGAGCAATATTCCGTCCACAGGAAGTGTACATTTTCTAGAACTAATGTTTTGTGCCTCCATTTCCACGCCTAGGTGTGCCGGAATGCAAGTTGAGCCAGAAGGGAGGGGAATACGTGGGTGTGAAGAACAGGACCATTTCAGGTTTCGCTTGCGAACCGTGGTTGGATCCGGACAGTAATGGAGTGGACAGAATGAGTGGGGCCCGTGAAGGGTCGTTCCCAGATAAAATCACAGACAGCCACAAGTTCTGTCGCAATCCTATTGGGTATCCAGGTGGTCCTTGGTGCAGCGTCAAAGATCCCCGAAGACCGACCCTGAACTGGGAGTACTGCGATGTCCCTTTCTGCGATTTTTCGGGCGGAAGCATCGAGTCCAGAGACCAATATGAGTCAAGTGAGTTATCAAAATCAAAACCCACTAGTAGCTCGTGGCCGTCAGAGCGGCTTTTACCCAAGGACCTATACTTTATCCTCGCAGCTCATCAACTAAGTACAGTATCAGCCAGATTTCCGCTACTAAAATGTGATCTACAGTTAACAATTGAGCATATTTGCATAAAAGAGATGCTGAGATACAATGTACTACGCCTGTGAATACGCGCGAAATGAAACAAAAATTACTTGGACTTGTAAACTCAGCTAAAAGCAGTTAAGACAACAATGTGCAGTATAACGTCAGGTATCCACGGCAGCGGTATGCCGTGCTCCATGCAGGAAGAATCCTCACTCTACAGCAACAGCTCTATTTTGATTAATGCAAGGGCACAAGCAGGATCCCGATCCTCTCCTTGTAGAGAGAAATCCTCCGACATGCGCTGACTAAAGGCATTCCATATCTGCAAACCATCGCTGGGATGGCAGTGAATAAGATTAGCACAGGGAGCGCGCATTGCACCGGCATCGTGTATGACACACCGTCTTCCATGCAACGATTCAATTTCCCATCGTCTCCGATGAGGCCCAATTCACGCGCTGCATCTGCAAATGTAGGTTAGCGTACACCATTTACAGTGCGGAGATGTTCTCATCAAGTTGCACAGCAACGCTCAGTAACAATAAGCGCAAATGATGCATGACATTTCGTGGAGACACAGCAATGATTTTGTCACCGCCTCTCCGTCGCAGCTTCCAGTTCCAAATACAGCTCGATAACGACTGTCTTAGAATATGTTGGTAATGGACAGTGCGTGCTTCGGGGTGCTCAAGAATCCACTGGAACCAACCGATTAAGGTTATTTCAACTGCTTTATCCACATCGTAAAAATAGAGATCGTAGATGCGTTGGTTGCTTTTTTGATTTAGCAAAGGAACCATGCGAAATGTTCGTAGGCTGGTCGTAGCTAAGTGATAGGCTTCTCCAGATATTTTGAAGCAGTATGGACCGTTACCGGGGATGTTGACAATTCTTGCAACGAATGAAGGAAATGTGTTTCTGCTGTTTTAATGCCTGATGAACTCGCAAAATTGCGAGCGTTTGCATCTACCCCCTTCGACGGCGTTTCAAACTCTTGTGGGGAATCCAATGGGTATCATGAAACACCTCACCAAAATGACAACTGTGCCGAAGTTTTACTTTCCCCGCTTCGAAATGAACAGTGGCAATGCTTAACAGAGCATACCACATTCACATTGCCGTGATTGTGCGGAACGGCTGGGATGACGTCGGCCATGTAGTTCGAATATGTGCTGGTAGGTCAACGCATCCACCCACTGTTATCCGTACATTTTTAAGAGCCACACGTTGCCCTGCAGTTAACGCAACCCTAAGCTACCTCCATTCTGCTCTCCTCTCGACATTAACATTTGACCGCCGCCAATCTCTCCTTGCCAAGCAAGGCAGTAGAGGTTCTTCGTGTTGAACACGCCATATGACGTGAATGGCAGCGAAAAGGTTAACATCCTCACCTTGCTCACTGGTCATTACAAACCCACGCTACCTCGCCGCTTCCGGTTTGGCCGTGCGTTGCATCACATCTACATCAACATAACGAGAAAGGCCTAAAAACCTTCCGCATATCCTATGACCTGGAAAGGCAAAGGCTTTAAGACCGTCGTTACTCGAGCCAGAAGCGCCTTAGCGTATTCCAATGTGAAGTAATAACAGATGGGGATAGAATAGGTAACAGTATAACACATTAAAATGGGAAAAATCTACATATATATTACGCAAAGTACCAAATCACCTTACTATGGTGGAGGAGAAATCGTGTGAAGATGAATGTGGTCTCATATTGATTGTCATGATATCAAACCTTGCAGAAAATATGTACTGTGTTAATTAATCAATTAATTAATTGAAAAGTTAATTAGTTTATTTCCTTGATGCAGCTTTTTTAGTGCCCTCTATTCGATCAGAAGACGCAGTCTCTTGGATCTCAACGATGCCCTTTACATCTGATTGCTTATTGAGTTTTTCTTACTGATAATTAACAATTAACCACGAGATGTGGAATGGTTTCCGTGTATGTGATATATCAATCGCGAGCTCTTGATGAGTAGATTGCGTTGGTGCTTATTTCAGCTGAGAAATAAGAGAAAGAAGTAGTAATTTTAATGCGAAGAAGTGGGTGTCGTAGTATAGCCAAGCAAGAAGTGGTGCGTAGGTGAGCGTTCAACATGGGGTAGCCACATTAAACGGAGGTCGAGAGTGGCCGTTTTAGTTAGAACAGAAAGCCGTGTGTGGCGATGGGCACAGTGAGAATCAAAACTGAATGTTCCGTGTTTGGTGGTGTAATGACAGCATACCTAACCTACCTAACCGATATTCAGGAGACCTTGGTTCAAGTCCCGACAATCCGTTGGCTTCATTTTGTCCCATCCTTGGCTTCGGTCCTCAAGACACATGCCCTGTATTCCCCCAAAAGAAGAACTCAATCACTAGAATTCCCGACGTGCAGACTTATTCACCAGTGTTTTTGAGTTTTTGTTACATACCCTATCAAAAAAATACTCGGAGAAAACACGATGAAGGCAGATCGACCGAGCCGTATTCCTTGCATGTTTGGCCGAACGAGCGAGAAAGTAAGCCTAATTTGCGGGGTGACGGATCTTGACCCATAATTTCCCAAATTAGGTTGACATCCTCGACAATAAATCCATAAAATCGGACAGACAACCAGTCTGGTTCACGGGTAAAGTCAAAACTTTCATCAGGGATAAAAAGCGGAAATGGGATGCGTACAAGCGGACAGGGGATAGCACGGACTATGAGGAATATATTAATAGGAGGATCACGCGGAAGTTGAAGAGGGAAATTAGGTCTGCGAGATGGGAGGTCGGAGAACGGCTGGCTAGCGATGCTAAGAAGAACCCTAAGGCTTTTTATCGGTATACTAGCGGTAGGTGTCAACAGTCGATCGGGCCGCTAATGAACGAAAAGAGGGAGCTGATTGCAAGTGAGAAGGATATGGCCAGTATACTTAACTCTTGCAACATAGAGCAACATAGGCAACATTTCGGAAACGTTTTATCAACATACTGTGTTACTTGGGATAACTCCAATGCACTACAGTTAACGACAAGCATGCACTCAGCAACTTTAGGAAAGGCAAGATGGAAAATTAGGCTTTAAATGTGCATTCGGGCACTGTACTGAGTAACCTGACAGAATCAGGAAACATTACAACATAAGAACTCATTCCTATAAGTTTTAATAGCTTAGAACTGTTTGGCAAGCATCGAATCTACAGTAACTTACCAAGTTTAGCGAAAAAAGCTTGGGCCTCTAAACATTCCTGGTGGGTAGTCAAAGTCTTCAGAAAATCCTTCAGAAACGGATCATTCTTGGTATGGAAAAATCAGGGAATTTGAGTTCTACAATCTGGCTTGCTGTCACATCACTTGCAAATGCTGCATCCAATGTATGGTTTGTGTCTTCCACCTTATTTTCCATCAGACCTGAGAAAAAAGGAGCACACAGGGGAATTAAGGACAACAAACAGCATTGGGGTTGGTCAAGCCATTAGATTATGCACAATCACTCACGATTTCCAACTGTTGATCTTAACACTAGGGAGAGAAATAATTGCAAAAGAAACTAGTTAATGTTAATTATGGAGCAAACGTCGTACCGATCTTCAAGAAGGGCGAAAAGAGTAATCCAGGTAATTACCGGCCGGAAGTCTCACTAGTATCCCAGGGAACATCATGGAGAGCATACTAAGGGACCATTTCTTGGATTTCCTCGAAGGAAACGCGCCCATTCTGGACCCTCAACACGGATTTAGGAGGCGTCCAAATTGTCTCACCAATTTGCTCGAATTCTACGACTGGGCGACGGAAGAGTGGGATAAGGGGAATCTCGTGGACATTGTCTATTTAGATTTCGAGAAAGCTTTCGATACCGTTCCTCACAAGAAGTTGCGGGTTAAACTGGAGGTGCACGGGATCCAGGGTAGGACGAGCGAGTGGATCAGTAGTTGGTTGGCAGGATGAGAGCAACGGGTGATGATGAATGGGGAAGCGTCGAAGGAGGTCGGAGTCGCAAGCTGTGTCCCTCAAGGCTCGGTCCTTGGACCGCTTCTGTTTTTGCTTTATATAAATTATTTGGATCTCGGCAGATGCCTGGTAGGGATTTCCGAAAGAAAGAGGTGCCGGTGCCCGATCCCACCTAAGATATATATTTTCTCTTAGGAAATGGTGTCCCAACTCATGAATATACAAATATTGGGACGATTGGAAATTTTATACATCGGGCACCCATAATGAGCATTAATATTATATCTGACATCCTTGGTATTTACTGTCAATTCCCCATAAGGTACTTCAGTACGTCAATAAGTGCGGGGATTCCCCACTGCCTCAACCTCCACCAACTCCACCGGAGTGGATCACCCATATTTTAGAATGTATTGCACTAATGCTTGAGGAATATCAATCCGACTTTACTGTGAATGTACTTTTCACTTTGGAGAGCATGCTTCTCTTCTGCTACTCATGCACATGCACAAATGGGTCCAAAGTTGATCGTCATTCCACGTAGACGGAGGAGTAACGCAGCCCAATTACAAAGAATGTCGGCTTACGGAGATGGGGAAGGAATACATAGGTGAAGAGAGCAAGACGGAAACAGGAGCGGAATGTATACACTGGGTTTATGTGATGGAACAAGGCTTTCCGTTAACAAGTTTCCTTTTCTCCCACCTACCATTCCAAGATCGCCAGCTCCCTGGACCGCCTCAGAAGATCAAGGAATTCTTCGACATATGGATTACATTATATGACACTATGGATTTGAGGTCTATGGGTTTCAACTCCTGCCGTAATTACGGCTCGAAGGAGCGACCCTGGTGCTTCGTCTCCCTTGAAAATTCCAGTTGGGAGTACTGTGATATCCCGTTCTGCCGTGGTACCAAAGGTTTGCATATTTTTCATCAAGAGACTTCATAACCTTTTGACGGGCAATTTTTTGCGCTCTATCTGTCCCATTTAGTCCAAGGTTTTTTCCTTCCCTCATACTAATCCTTTGTGTGATAAGAAATCATGTGATTGAGAGAATGGAAAGAATGACTTGCATATTTGAAAAGTTCTCGTTTTAGAAGCACAAATGCCAGAAAAAAAATTTAAAGTGAGTGACGTCAACAGCCTAGAATAATATGTCATATGTCTAGACATTATGTAAAAATGATAGGAGTTTTCTCATATTTTAATTATTTGTTGCTTAGCGTCCACGTTTTATTTACAACACTTCTGGAGTCCTTTATCGGTCCCATTCTATAGAACATTTACCTGGACATCATGTCCGTACCTTCTGACATCTCGATACATATCACAAAAAATCAACATCCACGCGCATAATCCTATGACATTTTTGCCCGAAAACATAACATCAATTAATGAGTGAGACAAAACATATGACCTGAAATCATATAAGATGATATAATACAAATTTACTGTAGTCATATTTCCCTTTGACTTTATGCACATAATACCAGGAAATATTCCAAAAACTCATAAGTTAAAAATATAACTGCAACAGTTTTACACGAAAGCGGCTGTGCTTCTAAAATGAAGTTTATACGTTTTAACAGATTAAAAGAAAACAAAGAGGAGCGGCACCGGTTCGCGAACATGAGGCAGTTAGCGAACGACAGGTCGTGAAATGCAATTCGACCTTTTGTTACTTTGGTTTCGCACTCCATCCTTAGCGCTACTTAATGCCTCACACCCTTTTCTTCGGATTCCACAAGCTAGAGTGTGAAACCAAAGAAACAAATGGTCGAATCGCATTTCATGACACGCCATTCGCTAACTGGCTCTTGTTCGCTAACTGGTGCCGCTCCAATATGGGTTCAAAGGTGACGTCAGCGACTGCCAGTGCCTCTGGGCAGGCGCTGAATTTCCACGAGAGGACTCATAACGAGATAGCTGAGGCTCCTAGTGGGGGCTAACCTTATGTTGTTCCCACACAAAGTCCGGAGTTATTCCTAACTTCAATATTTCCAGTGAGCGGTAAGCAGACCAGGACAGCGGTAAGTTTACTTTTTCACTATTTTGAACAACATACAAGCTTAGGTCTAACATAGTTAAATGCAAGACATAAGAAAGGGAGGGAGGTTTTCAGGGTTACCGGTGGAGGCCTGGCCACTTTTAAA